GTGCCGCAACGCCGCCTTGATAGCATTGCAAAGTTACAAGTGCAGTTATTTTGGTACCATATGTTATTTAATTGTTCATTGTTTATTGTAAATTATTCTGCATATTATTAGTTTGGGTCACTAGTTAGTTTTAAGAGTTGCATGTGTATGACTGAACTTTGTGAAATTGCATCATTTGACATAAAAGTTTGAAAATTTGTAGGGACAAATGATCAATCTAGACCACATAAAAATTTTACAAACCTAGTGTTAGAAGAAATCTATTAAAGTATCAATAAGCCCATCTTACAGACATAATTTTGGGCATAACTTTGAGCTAGACTTTGGGTTAGCTAACTAATATTTTAACTCGTTTGAAAATTAATTAGCTTAGTGTGAGATTAATATTTGGACCCAAAATTCTATATATTACTTGATCAACATATATGTTTGCATGATATCTTATGCTTCTACACATTTTGTGTGGATCAAGTTTTCTGCATTGTTGTTAAGAAACGATGTTAGTTTTTCAAATTAGGACAATATTGGTTGAAGATTTGACATTTTGATTTTTGGAAGAAATTGGCCATGGGACACGAAGTTTTCTTGGAATGAAAATGACATAATACAGCTAGGTAAATTCTATTTAACCATTTAGTTGATAATCTTTGATCAAACAAATTCAAATATTTTCATTAAAGGGAGCCATCCACTTTTTATGTCATCTAGCATAACCAACCAATTGCTCAAATCAAGCCAAGCCTTTGAAAGTGACTGTGTTTAATGATGGTCTCAAGATATTTTCGACCTCACTATATTGGTCAATTTAACCAAAATAAATTGATACATACAACAAATGTTTTTTGGAAGAATTTAATTGGCCAGTGGTACTAATACTTTTCCTTACAATCATATATTAATCCACTAAGAACTCATGACCAAATTGCCTATTGAAGAAAAATCTAAATTTGGATTATTGAAGTTAATTAAGATGAATTAGTTTATTATGATCCAAATGAAGTTCTTGCTTTGGTAATAACCAATTAGGGTTATCATACACATGGTTCTCATGATATTTACCTTATGAAATGAGCTTGACAAACTAAAAATTATATTTGGTTGGATGTACTTAAATATCATTATGAAATTTGGATTATATCAAGGATTTGACAATGGTTTAGCCATTGGCTAAACTAATGCACCTAACTCAAGCTCAGAGCATTTCAGAGCTTATCAGACATGAGAAAAAATTTGAATGCTATCATCATAACTTATATCCACTAGACCCCACCCTAATTCAATGTGAATAAGATCCACCATAGAATGTACTACATTAAACTTGATGAATAGTGGTGATATGAATTTTGACTTTTTTAATGTCAACACAAATACATTGGCTTGTATTTTGACATATTACTTTGATGCATTAATCATCAATAAAATTGACCATCGAATATTAGTAATTAATATTATCATAATCATATCTCATATAATTACTCTAAAGATACAAACTAAATGTCATCCAAACTATTTAGAGCACATATGAAGGCAAAACTTTTCAAAACACTTACTTTCAAGTAATTATAGAAAATTTACTATTATGTTTTTATAGATGCTCAAAATCATAAAATCATTCAAAATTCATTAAAATTAGGGTGATACATTCAAGTTTAATTGAATCTTTAAAATCACATGTGAGTGAAATGTTAATAATGATACTAATGTATGTGTGATAACAAAAAAATTTATATATTATTATGAGATAAAAATAAAATTATCTTTAACTATTTTGATTAACTAGTGAAATTGTTTAAATATAAATGATATGATAATATTAATGATATTATTATAATCGGTAATTATCATATAATTACTAAATTAAAATAGCAAATGAACTTTCATATTTACTGAACAAGCTCAACAAGCTTACTATTTAACTTATCCATCCACATAAAGATAAGTTTGGTGGATTACATGTAATATAGTTATTAGAAGTGCTTTAAAGACCCCTCTATGTTGATATCGAATACATTAAAGAAAGTAGATGAAGAGGACAATGAAGACGAGGAGATAAAGAGAAAGAAAACATGAGTTTCAATCTAAAAGTATTTCTAGTGACAATTAATTTTATTACATTGCATTTATATGTGCCATTTAATAAATAAGTCTTATGACTCACCACTAGCATCATTATATTTACCTAAGCCACTAAATATCCCCTTGTTCTCCTTACAAGTTAAAACAATGCCATCCAATTGAGAAGCTTCATGAAGTAACATTTTGAGTTTTAAAGGTTCAAACTCAAGTAGAGAAATGCATGTAAAGTATTATTCCCCTTCATGCTTTTATGTTAAGCATTGTTGTTGTAATTATTGGCCATTTTGTTATATGCATGTGAAATGCTTTTATCAGACATTTAGAGGCATGATTTATGAGCAGGTGAATTAAATATTGTTGATATATACTAATTATAAGAAATATAAAAATTTTATTAAAAGGTGTAAAATTAGAACTTTAGCTTTTATTTATCCATATAAAAGTTTAATATTTAAAAAATGAGAAAAAAATTATGAAAGTACTTGACATGAAAAATAAATGATCTATTAAATTTGATGAATTAAAATCATTAAAAAAGAAAATATAATCATAATATAAAATACAAACATCAAGAAAAAAAAAAAAAAACAATATAAATTATTTTCAAGAGTTGTTGAATAGTAATTAAGCTCTATGGTGCTCAATGTCGGCCTTTAAAAGAGAAGCATAAAACTAAAGTTAAGTGTTCCCGAGATGAGAATGATTAGGTGGATGAGTGACTTTGCACTTAGAGGCAAAATGCAAAATGAATATATCCATGAAAGAATTGGTGTAGCTGCAGCGACAGACAAAATTAAAGTCACTTTAGTGATTTGGTCACACTAAACGACTGGTGATCAGATTAGAAGAATAGAGATGCTCTAGATTCAACTTATATTAAAAAAGACAGAGATAGACCTAATAAGACTTGGGTATGTTGTATAGAAAAAAAAGAACTTAATTTATTAGAATTAAATAAAAATATAACACTAAATAAGACTGCAATGAAAAAAAAAAAAAGGACTCAAGTAGCCAACCACACGATATGATTCTTTAAATTTAGAAAGTTTTAACTCGATTACAATAAACTTTTAAAAGTAATCAAATAACTAAATATATTTTGCATCAACATTTGAAGCAGTGATGTTTAACTTATGAGAATTATGAAACAATAAAACTAAAAAAATATACTGAAACTATTGGAATGATTAACAAAATATTATCTTAAAAACAATGATTTGAAAAAGGATCTATTAAAACAATGACTGAGAAATCATAAATGTAGAGAAATGAAATCATGTGCTTCTCAATGATCCATAGACATAACTAAATGCAACAATAACTAATTTTCTATATGTCAAAACTTAAATACATCGAAACATGTTAAAATTACAGCAGATACTTTGCATATAACATGAAAACTGTGAAAATTCAGCAAACAATTCCATTATGTTAAAGATGAAGATTAGATATATTTTTACACTGATTATAGATATATTTACAAAGAATAGTCAAAATAAAATAAAGTATTAGTTACTATTAACATATAACATTTTCATTTGTAAAGGTACTAAAGCAAATAAAATGTTCAATATATATATATTTTTGGAAGAACAGTGACAAATTAAATAAAAATGTATAAACATATAATAAGCAATATCAATTATTAATCAGCACTATTAAAATATAAAATGTTACATAAGTCAAACAATTTAAAGGAAGATAAACATACAAACAAGTCATGTCTTACATATTTATGCATCTGACACACAAGCTACACTTTTTTCATATATATGCCACTTTTCCTATTCATTAAAAGGTACAATTCACACTTCTTAAAAGTTAAAAAAAGTGATATTTTTCAAAGATTTGGGTGGTAAAAATGTAAAATGAAAAATTTAGATGTTTGGTATGTAAAACATGGGAATTGGGTGGCACATAAGTGTATATCCCTAATTTAAAATCTTAGATTTATTATACCAAGCAATAAAAATATGGAATAATGCCATATTTGAACCTTGGGGATTAAAATGAAAAGAAAATCTCAAAATTGTCATGCTATAAAATGATATTTACAGAACAACATTCAGACAACCTATGGCATAAAAATGCAAATTTTGAATAATTAAAAGATCATTTATAGCCAAGTTGAGTAAAGTAAAATAAAGCAGTTAATAAATTCAATGGAATGTAAATTTAAAACTAATTGCAACTTCAGCTGGAAGGGCCTACACAAAACAAGAACTCTTATTGCTAAACTGAGATAACATAAAAAAATATAAAAATCCATAAAGCTAGCCCCAAAAAGCAAAGGTTAATAATCATTACATAGTTGAGAATAAATGAAGGCAATGCATTTGTTTGGATTGATGAAAGGATGAAAAAATGATATGAAATCTCAGTAATTTGTTGGCATTTTTTTTATTTAAACATTTCCTTCTCATAAGCATGCAATAAACTATAATGCAAATATGATAATGCAAATTCCATGCTGCTAGTAGGGCTGTGAATTTAGCTCGAAGATCGTTAATCACTCAAAAATTGATCCGAATTTTGGCTTGGATCGAGATTGAATCGTAATAAACGAGTCAAGCTACGAGACAAAATTTTGAATCGAATTTTTTTCGAGTCAACACCAGCTCGGCTTGAAACCAGATTGTTAACATCTCTAATGATGTTAGGCCTGTGAATTTAGCAAATTTAGTTTGAAGATCATTAATCACTTGAAAATTGATTCAAATTTTGGCTCGGATTGAGATTGGATCAAATAAATGAGCAGGGCAATGAGCCAAAATTTTGAATTAAAATTTTTTTTAGCCAATCTTGAATCAACCCTAGCTTGGCTCGAAATCGGATCGTTAACAACCCTACAAGTAAGTATATAAAAGTAAGGACAACACAAGCAAGGAAACCTCTACTAAGCCCAGGAGGAAAGGATCACGAGCAAAACAAAATAAAATAAAATTAAGACAAAGATGAAGAAGAATAAGAAGAAGAAGAAGGTGAAAACATACAAGACAAACACCCCTCCCTCTAAATGATTCACGAGACATGGAAATCTAAGAAATCAAACTATCAAATCCTACTTCAAATAAAAAAGCAAAAAATAGATTACAATGACAATATAATACAACAACAAATGCACATGTTCAGCTACTTCGCTCCTGTAACTAACCTGATCAGGGATGTCTTAGTGCCCCTGGTGGTGAAGTGGGCATTGGGTAATTGTAGCTGCATTGAGCACCTGTGAAGGGAGGAGCCTCCACATATGGACACTGTCACATAAATTAAAAAATATATATATTATCAGTTTAAAATTTTATGCACAATGCTGAATGCCTACATAGTATACTTATTGGTTCCTAGAACTCCTCAACAATATGGTATAATTTTTGGCTGATAGAACTCCATAACACAATGAAGTTATAAAGAGTAAAAATCCAATATGCATACTTTTCGGCTGATAGTAACTCCGTGACAAAATGTAGTTACGATGAGTAAGAAGTCAATATATGATATTTTTTGGCCTATAGAACTCTGCAACAAAATGAAGTTATGAAGAGAGAGAACCAAATACCTGAGTTTCGAAATTTGTATAGTATGGATGTTCAGTAGGTGATTTAGGTGAGGTATAAGGTGAGCTACCATCACTGTATTGCATGTTCCCAGTCAAATTGTGAGAACCACCAGTCAATGTTGGTCCACTTTCACTTGCATTACCTGACTTAACCCTCTGAATGGTATTATGTGCTCAGAAGAGTTAGAATTTATGCAAACAATTTAAATGAATCACAAAAATGAATAGGTACTCAAAATACCTGAAATATTTTTCCAAGAGTTTTCAGCCCTTTAGCTCTATCCCGAAGTTCCTCCTTCTTGACAGAACTCTCCTGAAGAACCTGAAATTGAGTAAATAAGATGTGTAAGATTTCATGATTGATGAATGTTAGACTCACGGAAATAGAATTTTCATGGAGATTGAATTGCACAATATCAATCTTATACATATCGGTTACTTTCGTGAGGCACAACGAACTGATGAACTGGGGATCCAATGGGGTGAAGAATGGGTAAGCGAAAAAAAAATATGTTTATTGATATGAATATGTCTCTATAAGGTAATAAACAAAATGGCTGTGGCACTTAATTGGAAGGTTCTTTTTATTAGAATTTTACATTTTGCATCTTATGGACTTTGGTGAGTTATCAAAGAAATTAAATGTGTAAGAATAGCAAGTATTCAATGAATATTGCACTGTGTTCTTGATTGATAGTAAGTCAAAAATAAAATTTCTCTTCAAGCTTATGTATGCATCAAAACCCAAGATTGAACTCGACAATCTAATAATAGAGTTGGCTGGATTAGATAGGTGGAGCATCAAAGAACAGCCACCTTTTCCAACCCTGGACGATGAAGATGTGTCATGACTAGCAGCAACAAGAACTCTTTTTCCGCCATTGTAAGGACCCTAAAAAATAGAGAAATTTACATACAAGCACACAATTCGCATGTATTTACATATCTCACACCTAGACTTTCTCATATATTTACATAGATAGCACTTTTTAAACCTATCATGAAAAGGTGTATTTCAATTTTAAAAGGTGGTAATAGTGCTACTTTTGATGTGATATTAAAGATTTAAGCATTATGTGTGTAAATATGAAATTTTGGCTGAGAGATACGTAAATACATGACAATTGTTTACTGTGTATGTAAATGCCCCTAAAAATTTTCATACTTATCAGGATCAACAATGATGACAACATCCCTCTAAACTCTTTAACTCTTCCCTCCAACTAACCATTCACAAAGTAGAAAAAATTATTTAGGGTAGACTCAAATGATTCAAAATATAACATTTATAACATGGAGATCTAAAAATACTTAGCAATGGCTTGACTCCTAAGGATGGTTGGGATATTCATGAAAAATATTCAAATTTAGATAACTCTTCTCAATTATTTGAATTAAAAAACAAAGATTTGATAATAAAAAATTAGAAGAGCAAGTTATTATCTATTATAATGAAAAAGCAACATTGGGGAAAAGATTGGATTAATGCTATGAAGAAGTGTTTAGAAAAACCCTCCCGTCAATCTGTGCAAATATTTTTTTGAGGTCAGACAAGAATGTAAGAAGAAGAAAATGCTGAGCAGGCTTCCAAATCAAAAACTTATTCAAGCTGAGCTCAAGCTTCAAGCTGAGCTCAAGCTCAATTCAAGCATTAGTGATAGTGCTCAATCTAAAACTCATATACCAAAAGCATGGTCATACTTGAATTGAGCTCGACATAAACTTGTTCATAATGTGATTAATGAGATTTAAAAGAGCAGCTCATTTTAACAAAAAAAAGTTTAACAAACCTTATCGAGTCGATCATGTTGAGCTAGGCAAATGACTTTAACTAAGCAGTTAATAAAAAAGTTTTATCTAATCAATGCAAACTTGTTCACACGCCTTTTCTCTAGTGGATTCCTTCTTGAGCATCTATCTTTAATCATGGTTTATACCAATCTTTAAACGGGCTTCTTAATTAAATTTAAATGATACTTTATTTAATCATAAATAAATCTAGCAACAAACAACCAAGCAATTGTAAAAATTTTCAAATTTGTTCGATTAGTTAAAAAAATATTAATAACCTCTAATAAAAAAAGTCAAACTTGATTCATTTGCAGCTCTACACAAGAGTCCTAAATCATTGATTATGAAGCAGCTGATCACATGAAAAGTTGCTCACATCTATTCTCACTATACACCTTCGATTAGCAGCAAAAAAGTTAAGATTGTTGTAGGTCATTAGTTATATTTGCGATTGATTCAGTTCAAATGTCGCATTTACAAATTGTTCAGAATGATCTTCATGCAAAAAAAAAATATATCATGCAAACTTTTATACATTAGTAAATCGACTCTTGATCACAATTAATGTGTTACTTTATATCCTTCCTAGTCCCTAGATTGTTAGTTTTAAGAACCAACCTCAATGACGATGCTGGTAAAACCAAGTAATGAATATCATAGCTCCAATTTTGACTCACTTTTTACTTGTCATAATCATAAAATAATATCCTGAAATTATAAATTTTATCATAAAATAATATTGTGACATTATAAATTTGATCAACCTAGATTTCAGAATTTAAAACGATTATTCCTAAATCCATTTTACAATAAGAACTCATCTTTTTTAATGCAAAATTTATCAATCGACAAAACAACATCATATTTCGCATCCTCTAAAGTCTTACAAGCCATCAACATCATTTTATATAATTCATCATGATGTCTTGGATTCCTTCTGGATTTCAATTCACTCAAAGAATAAAAATGGTCAGTTAGTTCATTGATAATCATGCTATGATTAGTTGGTTCTCTTGACTACAAGAGAAATCAAAAGTTAAGGAAAATTTTAGAAATTTTTATACTATGATGAAAACACAATTTTTTTAAGGAAAAAAAACAAAATTTTAAGAGTGACAATGGCAAAGAATTTAATGATTTAGACATATTTTTCATAACATGGGGATTATTTAAAGTTCTTATATTAATAATCCTCAATAAAATAGTATAATTGAATGAAAAAATAAGCATTTCTTAAAAGTAGTATGAGCTTTACTCTTTACCAACGATGTGCTAAAATATCTATAGGGTGACATAGTCCAAACTGTAATATACCCATCAATCGGATGCCCATAAAAATGTTGAATTTCCAAAGCAATTTACATGTATTTTAAAAATAATTTCCATACTCTAGGATAACGTCTAATCTGTCCATCAATTTTTTTTGTTGAATTATGCAAATAGGTGATCACAATAAAAATTACAAAAAAAAAAAAAAATAGAACATATAAGAGCGAAGTATATTTTTAGAAAGGCATCAATCCAAAAGCAGAAATATTTTGATCCTATTCTTAGCCGAGAAAAATCCTTGTGTAATCTTCAAGGGGAGAGAAAATTAGAAGATTATCTACTATAAGAATCTATTTTTTCTAGAAATAACTAAAATATTTTTAATGATGAATTCATTCATACAAAACAAAATTATAATTCAACAAATAATAATTTAAAAATTGAAAGCTCCACAAAATCATCTTTGGAATTACATACTCAAGAGAAGCATCATCTCAAGTCCGGGTATTCTCAATAAAACCATGAATCCAACCTAAGTTAAATACAAAACTCATAAGGTATTCTCAGTTGTGTACGAATTCTCATGAGAAATTGAATGATCTTAATATACTCATCACTTTTCTGATATGTTTTAAATCTCATACTAATCATCACATATCAAAGTTTGTGTTCGATAGAAATTCAAATAAATCCAAAAAATAGTCCCTTATTAGTCATATGTGCCAATTTAATCCCAGAGAAACTCAGGCTTTTTCCAATTTAATCCCTCAACTATCAATCTCAAACAATCCCTCATAAAAAGATTGATGAAAATTGAGACATAATGGATGCCAATTTAATCACTCGACCAACCAATATGATCCCAAAATTTGATTAATTTTGTATTTTTTTAAAGACTAAATTGAAGAAATATAATACTTTGAAACTACATTGGCCACATTTTGATAGTCAGGTACTATTTTGTGGCTTAGCTCTATAGAGTATCATCACCTTCTTTTATTATTTTCATCAATTAACATTAACTTATGGAAATTTCAAAATATGTTAGAAAACCTACAATCGCTTAGGTGGAAGGAAGCTATTGAGAAAATAAAAGCTCCTGAGAAAAATAGAACTTTGAAGATGGAAAACTACTCTAAATAGAAAATTGCAAGCGGCTGTTTTAGGTGAAGTAAAAATTAGATGGGACTCTAGGGAGATATAAGGCTTCGTTGGCTGCCAAAAGGTTTATTCAAATCAATAACATTGACTACATGAAAATGTTTGCAACTGTAGCAAATTTTTATACCTTATACTGCAATAAATCTCGATTCATATTTACACCAAATAGATATCAAGAATGCATTCCTTAATGAAGGCCTAGAAGAAGTTTATAAGGATCCTCCCAAGTCAAAAAATAAAATAAATAAATAAATAATATGCTATCTAAGGAAATCATTGCATGACCCCAAATAAATTCGAAAATTGTTGTTTGAAAATTTTACACGGTCAATAAAAAATCACAGCTAAACCAACCTAAACTGATCATACATTGTTAGTAAAACACTCAAGAAAAGGGAAGACAACAATGCAAATTAATTCATCATGACATGTGACAATATGGATGAAATACAATTGCTAAAGAAGAATATTGCTATAGAATTTAAAATCAAGGATTTGATATGCCCCAATTATTTTCTTCGGATGAAGAGAAGAGTATCAAAGAACAACACAATAGTATCTCAAAAAAAGTACACAATTGAATCTTTTCAAAGCTAAAATGAGTGGGTGAAACCTAATGAAAAAGATAACTCTTGTTATTCTAATAAATTTTCATAAATTATATTTTATATTTGAAGAAAGTATGTCTTCATGATAATTCAATTCATTCATCAATGAATGAGAAATTTGTATTACCTAATGAACTAGGATATTTCCTATTTTCAATGCGTCATTCATGAGATGGCCAAATCATGCTTGGATCAAAGAAGAGTGTTATTGAAGATGTGAAATGAACTTAACATGCCTTGGCATAAGGAATTAAAGTGAACTTAAAGTAGATTCTCCATAATACTTTAGATTGGACTAGAAATAGCTTCCATATAAAGAAGATTAAATTTGGTCTTTATAATATGTAGAGAAAAAGAAGCAACAATTTCAAGTCAAGAAACATAAAACATAAGAAGTCAAGAAGATGAAAAACCAAAAAAAGAAAAATTCCGGCAAACGAAAAATCCATAAGATAAACAATCAATTTACAAGGAGAAAAGAAATGCATTTAGATCATCAAGTTGCTATCAAAGGAAGTAGCCTTGAGTGCATTGTTTCATGTGGGATTAATTTGGTGATTCTTCTCCTTATAGTGAGATTATTCTTCATTTCATTTTACTTTATTGATTTTTGTTCCTTTTAAAATTTTATCATTTGGCTCATTAAAATTCTGTAATTTTTTGTTTTCATTTTTCAACTTTATTTTTCAAAGGGTTAGAAACATGGTGGCTACTTGTTGCTAGTTTTTGGTGAAATCCAACCCTCCTTGAACAAACATTTGCTAACATCATAAAATTCTCTTATTAATTGTTTTATTTGTTTATCTTGCATCGCAGTACTTTTTATTTGTTGCATATTTGCTTTCCTAATTTTGTAATATCATATTTACATTTACATTTTAAATTTCCTTTTAAATATTATCAGCATTTAAATTCTACAAGGGAGAGTTAATGCAATACAATTTATGTTACTCTGATATAACTTAATAAGGTGTACATATACATTGATAAAAAATATTTTCATCATAAGCTAATTGATGTATTAATGAATAAAAAGGTTTATAGTGGTTTTCGTCTAAATCAACTAATGTGTTTGTTGCTTTGCATCAAACATGCATGAGATGGTCGAGCCGTGACTGGATAAAAAAAGAGAATTGTTGAAATTTTTGGAGTGGACATAAAAAGAAGTTTCTCAATAACAAACTGGTGAAGACTTGAAGAAGCTTCTCGATGAAAAGTAAACTTAAAACCTTTTAATATGTGGAAAAGATTAAATATCGTTTTCATCAATAATCATAGAAGACGAAAATTTGAGAAGACGACTGGTCAAATGGATGAAAATTCAATTTTCAAGAAAATAAACAAGAATTTAAATTATGACTATGTATTATACTAGGGCCCGCTTCTTACTTCTTCAAATTGCACGTACTCCTATACATAACCTTGTGTTGAAATAAGAAGTAATGTAAAGTAGATGTTGGTATTTTTTTTTATCAGCAATGTAATAGGTAACACCTGGAGAACTTGTTCTTATTGAAGATTTTGCAACCTTTCAAAAAAACGGTATTTGGAATTACCCACTTCCACCCTCCATCTGTTGGCATCCTACTTGATCCAAACATAAAACTTAGAAAAAACAAGAATGGAGAACTTATTGATGTTACCCAATATAAAAAATTGGGGGTAATATTAATTTATTTAACCCACATAAAACCTGACAGACATTTTTGTAAGCCTAGCAAGCCAAATTATATACTCACCGTAAAAAGAAAATCTAGAGGAAACAAACAGAAGCTTGAGGTATTTAAAATGATGTCATGGAAATGGAATACTTTTAAAAAAGGCACTAATTGCAAAACTAAAACCTATGGTGATTCAGATTGAGAAGGTTCTACTACTAATACAAGAACCATAGCAGGTTATTGTACCTATGCATGGGCCAATCCTGTCATTTGGAAGAGCAAAAAATATAATATAACAGCTCAGACTAATGCTAAAATTGATATAAAGCCAAGATCAATGGTGCATGCAAACTACTATAATTACAACATGTTATGATTGAGCTACAACAAACCTATAGTTACTCCAATGAGATTATAGTGTGACAGCAAGAAAAAGATAATCATAGGCAACAATTTTGTTCAAAATATTAAAACAAAGCACGTTGAGTTACATCACCATTTTATAAAGGAAAATCTAGAAGTGATAACTATTTACATGATTTCTATTCCTAGTTCATAGAAAATTACAGATATCCTGAAAAAAGAATTGTTCAAATCTAATCTTTATTTTTGCATTAGTAAATGTGATCCAAGGAGGAGACAGGTAGTAAAAAAAAAAGTAAAATGTTCATTGTATGGAGGTAGTTTCTCGATAAAGAAATCAATGAATCGCTACAACAATTTAAAGGAAGATTTTCTTTTAATTTAAAGTTCAAATTTGTATTATATTTTCTTTGGCAAGTTATTAAAGAAATTAAATATATAAGAATACAAAATATCCTATAAATAGTTTATTATTATTCGTGATTAATTAAAAAACAAAAATGTTAGTCTGTCCAAACTTTCAGCTTTCTTTTCCACCATTTTGCCCATTTTTGCTTTATTCTATTCTCAGAAATGGTTAATTTGAATTAGAAGAAATTAAAATTGATTAAATACTGATTTCTTATCTTTAGGCATTTATCATTATTAGGGGTAATACAGAGTTGAAGTTAACCGAACCAACCAAATTACATAATAAAACATTTTAATTTCTACTTGGCTAAGTTTAACTCAAGGACAAAGTGGGTGATTTCAAGTTCAGATTTGAGTGGTAAGTATATTAATTTTCTCATGAGTTTTTAGTCATTGATCAAGAATATTATCTTTATAAAGATTATTTAAAATTTATTTATAAAGGTGTATTATCAACTGTATTGAATATAAATACATGTGTTACTATATACTATTTGAGTTACTTGCATGTATGTATGTATGTGGGTGGGTAGATTTTAATACAAACAAAAAAATGCATATATCACATATAAAGTCAATTTTGAGTTGAATTAAATTTGTTTCAAGCATAGCCATCCTCCATTCAAAACATGTTGATTTAATTTTGAGTCAACTAAAGTTCGAGAAATCATAAAGCAGGTTCTGAGTTTCAAACATAATTAGCATCCTTAATCATTATCATGCTCATTCATATCGTTAGCTTTATTCCCCAACTATTTCACGTCTACTACATGAATGCTCGATTTTCTGTCACTCCAATTGAGTAGCATGGGATGTTAAACCTATCTCACAAGATCATTTTGAATGATTTTATGTTTTTTGGATTTGCTATTTTCACTCCAAATCCTTAAACATAAATTTTAAGCTCACTAATAGGCAAATTTTTTTTATATTTCAATGAACATGTCCAAACCACTAAAATTCATTTTTTTAATTACTAAATCTTGAATTAATGTTGTTTCAATCATTCCCCTAACATATCAGTCCCTTAATTAATCTGTATTGATTTTATTAGACATCCATCTAACATTTTCATTTCCATAATCCTCAATTTAGTTATAAAAAAAAAACTTTATTATTCATCACATATTATGTTATGATAGCTAGCTTAATTGTAGCCTTACAGAATTTATCTTAAATATCTATGATATCATCTTATCGCAAAAATATCTTATTAAATTAAATACTTTGTCAACTTAAAAAGTTAACAAGTCATCCAAACCATAATAGATCAAAAATAAACTATCATACATGAACAACATAACATTACCAAATTTTTTACAAAAACTATTTTTACATGTTGAAAACATAGCGAAGTAGATTTTTGGGGGTTTCTAAGAATATTGGAAAATAAATAAAAAAATCAATTCATCATCACACAAATCAGAAACAAAGACCTAAACAAGCTTTCACATATTAGATCACAAGATTCTACAAAAAAAAAAAAAAAAAAAATTAAAAAATAAAAGGGTGTGATTACCAATGAGACAACAGGTGTTGAACAATATAGAGATAAAAGTGAAATAAAGAACATGGTAAAAATATTATCAATATTATAGATGCAGGGCAAATATAGAATATCATATAAAGAACAACATTAAAATGAAAGTCAAGTATCTAATAAAGCTAGCAAAATTGATGGAAATGGAACTTATATATAAACCAACAAGTCACTGAAGAAAGACACAAAAATAATTAAAAGAGTTACTTGAAAGAGTTGGGAAAGAAGAAGGTAGGTAGAAAAAAAGTTGGATGTTCAAAATAAGCCAAACTAGAGCTATACACCTAAAGTAGTTCCTAAAAGAAATGACAGAGAAGTTTCACAAAATGAAACCAAAATGTTTGGTTGATCCGCTTCTTCCTTTGCTGAAGCTAACAATGAAAATGAAGATGAACAAGAGTTTAAATTCAAGATGGTGATAGCCAAATGCAAAAGGAAAAAACTTAGAAAAGGACCGAGTAAAAAGAAGGATATAAATATGAAACTAAAGAACAACGACCAAAATGCAGACCTTTTGACAAACATGCACAAGAGTAGCTTCAATATCTGCCACATTGAGTTTCCACAAGGAATCGATCATTAGTTTCTTGTTAGACCGCATGTATTCTTCTAGTTCTTCTTCGGTATAGTTCCCTTCAGCACTAAGCTGCTTCTTCATGTCCTCCTGCAACTGCATAAGAGCTATTGCACCTACAAAAAGAATGATATTTAAAAATACCAAAATAAACTTCAGCAATTCAATAATAAATCGCACTAGAACAATATGCAAATGTCTGAAATTTCTAGTTGATCCTCATAGACCATCTAGACATTGAAATGGTTATGATCATGCTATCTGAGAAACTACAGAAAAAAGGTACATATGCCAAAGCAAGAAAGATGAAACAATCAGAAGCTGATAGATGATGATCCTTCACCTGTTGCAGCAGTTACTTGAGATTTGATGAAATGGCCTTTGTTTCTAAACCATTCAGCAATAAATGGTACTCCTAAATATATTGCCTTTTTTCCTAGTTGCTTTGCAGCTTGCCTCACATATATGTAGCCAATGGTGTTTAGCATATCAACTCCATAAGCTGTCAAAATTTATCAAATGAAGTGCTTGAATTACATTGTACATAGGTCAACAAAAATTCATTTAAATGCAGAAGGATAAGAAAGATAATAGCAGCTTCAAGCTAAAGTTTGAGGCCCTATTTGTTCGTAATGTTATTGCCAATAAAACGAAATAAGAAGTTGCAATCAAAATATTGTTGTGAGTAAAATAGGTTGGGTTATTTCGGAACACCCATGGTGTGACTTAATATTTGCAAGAAAAAAAATAATAAATAATTTATGTTAACTGATAAAACCTATTGTTTTGTTCTTTTTCTCTGCTGACAGACGTTATTTCCCTTTCCATTATTTAACAACCAATATTATGGTTATGAATTAAATAAGGTTGTACTCTATCATTAATAATTGTGAAAGAAGATTTATCAACTTATGAATATTGACAATCAAGAAAGTGTAATTATGATTGTTAGAAGTATCGCTAAAAATGTGCAGTTCCAAGAGGAAGGAAGACGATCAAAGAGAATTTCTTTGATTTCAATACTAAATGATTGGAATTTTGGTAAATCTTGGGCATAGAGAACACCATGCAGGCTGCTTTCCAGCAGAACTTTTTTTTTTCCTTCTCCAGAGGAGCTTTTGAGCATACAATTGAGCCTAATTGACACAGGGCTTGGCTGAACCGGCCCAAACTGGTTCAACAGGTGTCCTGAAGGATATCATGGGGATTTATGAAGAAATTCCTCAAAATATGAATGACAATGACGATGCCACTGAAAAGTTGTGGAGAGTATAGCACACCTGATGAAGAGCATCGTAGATCGTTAGGGTAGGCGGCCGATGAGTTATGTTGCTGATGAGCCTAATTAGGAGTTTTTATGTTTTTTTTTACTTTTGAAACAACATAATTTATATTGTGGTTGTAGATGTAAACTTCCGATGAATTAGATTTCTTGCATTGTGTTATTTTCAATTGTTGTTATTCATTTGTCCTTATATTCTGTGTTGAGATAATGTATTAGAAAGTTGTTATGCTATGTTTTTTGTTGTGTGTTGGTTGTAAGAATCTAGTTCTTTTATTTTTTTTTTCTGATTTGCAGGTTTGCGTTGAATTACGTCGCCTTTTCAGGCGCAAAATCGACAATTTATTTTCATTATACTATAATACGATCTAACACAAATATGATGATAATTTGTGAAATTATTTTATGACGGAATTGTTAGACGATAAATCAGACGCAAACATTTATCGTTGAACTAAGGGTTCATTTGGGGCGACGACACAGCCGCAACGAGGTACCACGCCACCCTTCTCTGCTGTTTGGGGTAAATCCTTGTTCTATCTTATAAGCAATAATATTTGTCGTTTGGTTGTGGTTGGGACGACAAAAGAATAACCAGAAGCTTCAACAGATGAAGTCTAAGCTCCTCCAACCGAGAGAGACTGATGCGGTGTTGTAGTGTGACAGATCGGTTTGGCAGGGAGACTGGACAGACCAACCTTCTATTGGGGCTGGAATTACCACCCCTCCCCTCTCCCACCTTCCCATTTCACTCCCATCCAAAAGGAGGATCTCCTTCCTATTTTATTGCTTGCCTCTTCTATACCCTTTCCTATTTCAATTTCTTTCCAAGGACGAGAGGCGACAACTGGAAGGCGCGGCCGCACGAACAACAGACAAAGGACATTGACGACTGAGCCCGATGCAGCCGCACGAGCAGCAGACGACACAAGCGACGGAGTAGACAACGCATGAGCAGCAGGACAACGACTAAAAGGCACGGCCGCACAAGCAGCAGACGAGATGCCGAGCTCGACGACTGAGGCTGACGCAACTGCACAAGAAGAGACGAGCGACGAAGCGGACGACGCACGTCAACAACGGTGACAAAGGCAAATCAGACGGAAGTGACGAAATCGATGAACGACGAGCAGAGCTTGATCTATGAAGAGATGCAGTGGAGTAATAACGAGGGATCGTCATGGCGAAACCCTAGCAGAGCGTGAACGTGAACGGGAGCGCCATATATATATATATAGATTAATTATAGTCCTAAAAATATCTTTCAGAAATTTTTAATTCATTAATTTAGGACACATTTTCGACACATATCCTTTTTTAAAAATATTATTTAAATTGGAAACTTTTATGTTGTGTCTGACATGTGTCGTGGTTGTGTACGTGTCCAATAAGTGTCCGACACTACACGGTTTCTTATATATAAGTGTTTGTGCATCATAGATCCATGCATATATCCAAGGTCATTTGTAGAAATCATTAGTAAGTTGCATTTGTCCAAAATCAACAACAAAAGCTGACGAGTGATGCTAGATAAAAAGAAAATCGCAATCGAAATACCAAATTAGGAAGCCAACTAACTAGAAAAGAATAACTATAAGTACAACATAATATTTCCAACTACCACAAGCAGATAAGTCAAGAAACATGAGGAAAAAAAAAGAATAACCTAGAAAGACGAATTTTAGGGCATTCAATACAGCAATACAAATTAATCTTTAAAATAGTATAAAATTCTAGCCATATATTTACAAACTTCAGTAAAATTAGGACTCCTAAAAAACAAAATTAACAAAAATTATTAAAATTCTATCTTTAGGATTTTTGCCATAATGTATGCATTTTACATTTTGGATGACTACAGGATTTGCGTAACATCTCCCCTAATTGTTCACCCAGAAGAGCATCACCACTACATCTCCCTGTTCTTCCAGAAGTGGGCATAAATAGTTTTATTAATTTAGTGGAAGGATAGAGTAAAAGATGCAAGGAGATGCTTAACGCAATAAGAGGATTTGACTTTAAAAATAAGAGTCAATAGAAGGGTGTTTAGATCAAAAAACATTCTTTGAATGTTTGACTCAAAATATTTGTTTGAGCACAAATATTTGATGGGTAAAAAGTGCACTAATGACAATAAGGTTTTAAATAAATACCTTCAATAACCTTAAAAGGGTAAAATGTAATAAAGTGTGTCTAATTGAATAGACACTGATCGTGTCAAATTGAAGAGACACTGATATGAAACTTACACTTTCCACTGTGACTTCAACCAAACGAGATCTATAATCTAAAATAGTTTATTTCCTTCAGCTATTGTAGCCATGCATGAATTAAGGCTTCCCTGTGGTCTTTAATTATAGATCTTTTGTCAGTTCCTTGCAGGTACGTAGTTTGCTTGTTACAAGAAATTCAAGGCTACTTTGCAATTTGAGTACTGCAGGTAGCTACCTGTGACTTACCAGATTGTGGCGTTTCTTTTTGAGCTATCATGGGATTTCTATGATTTCTTCTATGGCATCTGGTTGCCTTCCCTATCTTTTGATCGCATAAATTGAAAGAAATTGTAATTATAAATAAGAGGTGCCCAAGATTTGCAAAAAGAATAGTTACTTTGTTATTTTATTTTCAGTTATATTTTTTTTCCTCTTTGTTTGAATAGTCACTGCATTTGATTCTTTCGAGCATGATGCAATTGGAGGTACAAAATTTCAGGATAAAAAAATCTCAAAATGTTGTGAGACCTAAATTTCTATATTATTAAAATATTTTCTCTGCTCTTTTCTTATTATCAAACCTAGTTATTGGTCCACTTGTGTGATTGAGTATAATCAAAATTTATACAATTACGATCTTTCATATGCAATACGAGTTCTAATTGAAGTATAATTATTTTATGATTTTGCATTTTTACGTGACATTTTTATTAGAAGATTATTAAATTATAGTCTATACTAATGGTGTGCTTTGTGTTCATATGAAGTGGCAAATAGTTCTCCAGACTAGAAATTTATTAGGCAAACTTCTCCTAAGATGTCAAACACGAGCATAAATGAAGTTATGTTTAGGCATGATATTCCACAATGGGATTTCTTAAAGGTCAAGGTAAGTTATTGAAACAAAGAGAAAGGAGAAGTTTGTGGAAACCAGATAGAGGAGATTCAGGAGAAATATAAAAGGATATAAAGTTAATAAAACTGATTCAGCCATTGCGAAAATGCTCAATTAAGAGAGCTATATTCAGAAATGATAGAAGTACGATTGAACCCATTCAAGTAAAAAAAAGCATATCACTTCTCAGGATATGGAGAAGTGGAACTTAAAATTTCCCATAACTAAGTTTCCCAAATAACAGATAGCAAAACTGAACCATCCTGTTCCTTTCTATTAGTAACCGTTCTAGATAGGCCACCAAAAAAAAAAAAACTTCAAAGTTCACAAAAGAATAAATCTATACCTCCATTAAGAACTTCAAAGTTCACAAAAGAATAAAATCTATACCTCCATTAAGAACCTAACTGACAATTCGCCATTTAATTTGTTTGGCTGCATTTGATATTTATTTGAAAAGTAAATGACCTTCAATGATGCAGTCAAAACCATTACCAGAGAAAATAACCCAAGTGTTAATGAGTACACAATCAATCTAGAAAGACAGCAATAGCTATACTGTTTCAAAGATACTCTCATTACTACAAGGCTGAATATCAAGTGAAAAAAAAAATAATAATAATCAAACAAAATACGTTTTACCTGCTTTAGAAAGCTTTGCCACCTCAGCTTCAGCATTACTAACAAATGCTTCCTTGTTACCTATAACATACAAATGCAATCGATCTTTAAGTATCTCTGCAAGTTTGTCCTCTCTTTCCTTCTGAACAACCTGTTGTGCAGTAAAAGAAATTATTCATGTTTTTTTTTCCAATAAATGCTTTTTTAATTCACTATGATTGCCAAAAACTTGCATTTATCCACCGTGGTTTGAAAAAAAAAAAAACGATCACGTCATCCAATGACAGACAATCAAAAAAAGATAAAAAAGTTCAATTATTCTTATTTTCCATCAAAAAAGCAGCAAACCCAAATCTAAGAAATGAGCAATGCTAAATCAACAACCAAAAAGCATAGACCAAAAAAATCCTAGATAATTGGAATCGTCCCTAATCCCTACTTTAACTACTGGTAATATATATAAATATACATATATATATATAGATGGGAACCGGCGCGCGCCAGTTCAACTGAACCGATGCTAGTGGTTTGTGTTAGTATGAGGCGGACGAAGACAAATCAAAGTGAATTAAGCAATATAAGTGGAATGAAAGAGAGAAGTGTACACAGGTGAGTGACATAGGGAACAAAATAGAAGAACGAAAAATGCACAAGCAGAAAATTGAGCACAAACAAGGTATCACATATTGCAAGAGGGAGTGGAAAAGCGGGCTAGTGCAGTGCCTACAAGAGCAACGAGATCGACGTAGCGAGAAAGCTTGTGCGGTGCGCACGAGCAGCGTATGAGTAAGAACAGACGAGCATAATTGTTCAAAGATGCTAAAAAGATCAGAGCTTCGCAAGCACAATCAAATGTGAGACAAAAATAAACATAAAACCTTACGCGGGCCGAAAGAGAGCTCAAACGAGTGCATAAGGGAAACGAAAGCGAGCACAAAGAAGAAGTGTAAAAACAAGGGTTTCATCCTTTTTAATAGTTAGATTTTGTGAAAATTTTAATTAAGATTTCTTAGGTGTAAATTTTACATCTATTCGATGATTATTGTTAGATTACTTTTTATAGAAATTTATGTTGGGAGAGTTATGTAGAAAACATTAACAATGAATTCCTTTAAAGTCCACACAATTAATTAATTTGTTTGTAAAAATCAAAGATTATATGTTGCAATTCATATATTTCGCTAAATTGATAAACCAAGATAAAACAACAACAAAACCTTTAACACACTAAGTGGTGTCGGCTACATGAATCCTTTTTTCTCCATTGCATCCTATTTAGTGTCAATATTTTCATTTAATTCTGAAAAATTAAGATCATTTTTTATGCAATATGCCCAAGTCATCCTAGGTCTACCTCTACCTTTCTTACCATAAGTCAAATCTAAAACCATAAGTCAAATTCAAATCTAAAACATCTACTCTTCTAATCGGATCATTAGATGGTCGACGTTTAATTTGACCAAAACATCTAAGATGACTCTCTCTAATTTTGTACGTCACTAGAGCTACACCGACCCTATCACGGATATATTCATTTCGCATTTTGTCTCTGAGTGTAAAGCCACCGATCCACCTAATCATTCTCATCTCAGCAACATTTAACTTAGTTTTATGCATCTCTTTTAAAGGCCAACATTCAGCGTCATATAGCATTGCAGGTCTCAGCGTCATCTTATAAAATTTTCCTTTCAGTCTAAGCGGTACTTTTCTATCACACAATAGGCCTGAAGCATTGCTCCACTTTAACCAACTAACTTGAATTCTACTAATAACATCCCATCAATATCACCATCACTTTGAACATTAGATCCGAGAAATCTAAAGCGTTCACACCTTTTAATAATTTGATCACCCAAAGTTACATTTCTGACGCTAGAGTTACTACAATTAAAATTACATTCCAAGCATTCAGTTTTATTTCTACTCAAACGAAGGCCTCCAAGACAGACCTCCATAATTCAAGTTTTTCCTGAGCTTTTTCTCTCGCCTTATCCACGAGAAGAATATCATCAGCAAAAAGCATAAACCAAGGTACATCCTCCTGTAAGCGTCTAGTAAAGACCATCCATAACTAAAGCAAAAAGATATGTGCTTAAAGCCAATCCCTGATGTAAACCAACAGAAATAAAAAAATACTTGGTCAATCCTCCTTTTATTCAAACATAAGTAACAGTTCTTGTATACATATCTTTAATGACTTCATAAACCAAGATAATACTAAAAATTTTAAAATTGTTGTCATTATTGAATAAAATAAATAATCTAAAGTATGATGATAATTTTTATAATTTACATATAATAACAAGTTATAAGTAAACTTAAAAAATAAGAAAATGAAGATTTATTTGTAATCTTAAATTAAATTTTACAAGTTGTCTTTTAAATAACATTATAAATTAATTGAATAAAATTTACATGTTTGAGTAAAAAAAAATAGATGTAAAAAACAAGAGAAAAATACTATAAATATATCTTGAATAAATAAAATAATTAACCTAACTAATTTGATAGAAATTATCTATATTTAAATATCACACTATGTTGAACACTAAATAAGGTTCACAAGATAAAAGTATTGATAGATCAATAGAGGAAAGAAATGTGCATGATTTAAAGTTAATAATTAAGTGAAGCAAAAGAAAAAACAATCTAAGCGAAGTGAACGAAAAAACAAACTAAGTAAATCATGCGTTGTCCTATGTAGATAATTATAACTTTTCTACTTAAATGAAGCGAAAGAAAAAACAATCTAAGTGAAGCGAAGGACAAAAAGGTGAGCAAAAATCATCAAAGATTGAGGCGAGTACTAATATTTCAAATTTATACTAATACTATTGATTCCTCTAAACCAAATGTTGTAATAATTTTAATAATCATTTAGAATATTCTCACTATAAATTTAAGTATAATTTATTTGTTCTATTGAATGATACAATCATATTAAAATGAAAGACATATTTTCTTAACATGTTTAAATTATTTATATATATGCTAATTATTAAAGAAATATATTAAATGATATGAAAATATGAATGAAAAGAATTATATAGAATGTTTACATAGGCATGTCAACTGGTAGAGTTCACCTCATTATAATACTAGCTGGAAACGCTAAGATATTCATGCACAAAAAGTTAAAAAAAATATTTATACTAAAATATATTTTGAAAGGTGCTTCCATAGTAAATGTAATAGAAAAGATATGATATTGTCATTATGATATGGTAGAATAATTTGACTTCTTTATATGTTCATACTTGAATAAATTACCAAGTCTTATCTTGATTTACTAAATTTTAACTAGTCTGAATATTATCATTTCAATGCTTTTATGTTTATTGAATTTTTAAATTATAAAAATTTATTCTATTTTTTTATAACTCGCGATAATTTAAATTAAAATTTTGAAGTCATAAGCTTGAAAATTAACGATAGAAGAGAATTTACTTATACAAGATATGGCCAAACTAGAGAAAAATAATTACATTCATAAACATTTTATTTTTAAAATAATTTAAATTTTATTATTTAGTGGTGATTTCTATTAAACAAATAATTATTTTAAACAGTGGTATACAAGCAGTATGTAAATTTTATCATCTGGCATTTTATTCTTACCTGAGTAATTTCCTGCCCCGGGACTTAATCGTGACATCTACTGTAAAAACGCAATCCCATAAGCAACAGATGAAATCATCATTCACTGATCAAAATATCATCCACTCTGTAGTTCCTCATGTTTTCATTAAAAATATCCCCACCCCTAATATTGGGATATGCATCATACTAAAAGTAGCACCCTCCATCGCCATCAAAACTAAATCCTCCATCGCTCCTTCCACCAATACAGTTCACTATTGCTCCTTCCACCACCATAGCAATGCATTTATAATTGCTAACTTCGCCACCACCATGAGAGCCATCTCCACTACCCAATTAATGTTGAGCTTGATTAATGTTAAGATATGGTAAACTCAATATATATTCTAGCGCTTAAAATCAAAATGAATGTTACAATTTCATCATTGTACATAACTCTTAACTATCAAGCGATATTTATAATAATAATTGTAATTGAAATAATAAAAAATTTTATAATTGCTTTACAATATCATATTGTTTCTTTTTCACTTAAGTTGTAATGATTTAAAATTGTGATGTGCGCACTGAGTTACATTTATAACTCACAGTTGTTATTTAATAAATATTATAGAAAAACATAATATGGATTGAATAAGTGATAGAAAAAAATTTGTGTCACCAATGTGGAGCAACAAATTAAAGGTATTTATATCATTTGGGTGTTATATAAACAATAGTAGATCAAATATTATTTTGAAATAGAAAGACTTCATATTTATAAGTGGCTCTTTTAAGGTATCAAAAATTAACTATGAAATAAACTTTATGATCAATTATTTAAAAAAAATTGATGTAATTATAAGCACTTAAGCAATTCATTTGAACTTCAATTCCACGATGATGGGTCAGGACAATTAAAGCAAACACGCAACCATTCACGATATTATTTATTAAAGATAAAAGTTTTAAATTTAACGAAAGCTTAAAAACAATTAATATTGTATCAAGTGTTTCCATATGATCACACTCAAAAAACTCACACAATATATATGTGGCATGTACCACTAATCTAGTAATTTATCTAAAAACTGCATCAATATGTTACAATACCAAAGTCCAGATCTTCTCTAACGACCAAGTTCACTGGTTGTGAGTCATAACATGCACCTGCTAGAACACACTCAATTAGCCAATGTCGAGTTAAAATTAACCATTTCAACAGCCCCTAATTTGCAAAATACAGTAGGGTGATGAATATGTTAGAGTCAACTTCCTACACTAATTAAGTTAATTAGAGTTCATATAACCCAAAATGAAAGAGGCTATATAATCCTGACCACATCAATCATCATTTCTCCACCATTTCCTCTAAATCTGAAGACATTATATCCCTTTTTCTTCCAAACAAAAGTAATGTTACTAAGCTACAATATAATAAAGCTTTCTAACTAGCTTGAGATAAAAGTCCTCTTAGTTGATCCAGAGAGATTATTAACCATAAAAGCTAATGTAAATGAGAAATTTCAAATCAGAACAAAAAGTTCTTAGACAGTGACATCTTTAAATAGTTTCTTATTCAATATCTATAATAGTCCAAAGTCATTAGCATAATCAAAAGAGCTGGATAAAAGTTTTTAGAACCCACAAATTACCAATTTCAAATAGAACTCTGATTTAAATGTAACCACCAATTAGGGTAGAAAAACTAATAATCATTGTTTAGTGGGCATTTACTCAAGTATTATTCAAGAAATTTGTCAAGCATACCATTATGTTCTAAAGCACCCTACTTTCTATCATTCATATCGACTCTTCTTAAAGGTATACATAAAACATATCTTGAATTTAGTATTTAAATTGCTGACTATTTATATAAAAGTAAAACTAATGCTCTCAATTAATAATGTTTAATATAATGCCATCACTTGATTATTTAATTGTGTGGTGAAATTTGCATGATACTTCAATGTTTTTTTTATAATTCCCTTTTTAAAGATTTAAGGTGTTTATCATATGGCAAATGTGAGTTTCAATGAACTTAAGCACTAGCTTTGTTTTTGCATAGTGCATCAAAATAATAAAGAAATAATTAATTAAAAAAAAGCCATTGTAAAGCATTATGTGTTGACAAACATATTCTCACAACACTCCCTTGCATCCCACACATTCTATCCATACATATACACGCACACCCGCCACTCATGTTAACCTATTTAATCTTTATTTCACCTATTAAACCGCAATTATTCCCCATCTCTTCTTTTAAAAAATGTGGAAACCCCCTCCACCAACAAATAAATTCCAAGCACACGGCCTCTGACTCACTTTCCACTCTCATGGGTTCCATTAACACAAACACTTACTCTCTATCCATCCGGCATATAAAAGCACAAACTCCCACTCATGTTAACCTATTTAATCCTCTTTCACCTGTTAAAACTTATCAATTATTCCCTACCTTTTCTTTGCCAAATGTGGAAAACCTCCCTCCAACACAAAAGTTCCTAGCACATAGACTCTAACTCTCTTCTCATCCTCATGGGTTCCTTCATCGAACCACCCATTTTTTGTCCCTCAACTCATACAAGTCCAGAATTGCATATCAATCTCATTCTATTCTATTCAGTATGGCAAGTTTGCTCTCTCTCTCTCTCTCTCTCCATCTCTCACTCTCTCTATCTACTGCAAGAAGAGTCTCCTCCCCAATCGAGTGTATAACAGACAATTCTCAAGCAATTCAGGTTTCTTCAAGCTCTCCCTCAAATAAAAGTGACAACTACTCGCTCTCCAAGTTTAGTCCCCAACAAAAATCCAATATCACCGCCATCCATAACGCTCTCCCTACGTTCCAGGTAAAAGATCTCTCTCTCTCATTTTCTGCAAGTACATGTCCATCAACCACATATCGCATTCACTCATTTTTTTATGCAAGGATTCCCACAATGTCATCACTATTTGTGGGTATTATAATATCTACCTAATAGAATTTGAGGAGAGAAAGGAGCTCACATTTGATTTACCAAAAGGTAGATAGAACCGTTTACTTATTACCACTTTTATTTCTCCCCTATGATAAATTCATATAGGCAGGGTTATTAGCTCAGTAACTTCCATGCTAATGTTGATCATATATAGTCGATGAATATTATTGATTTTACAGTTGACATTTCGTTTCTTGTATTCTAATCACCAAGTCTAAAGTCATAATTAAATTATAGAGTCAGTCCTCTTGGCTACTAAAAAAAATATATTGATAAAATAAAATCTTCCATAAAAAATGATAAATAACGCACAAAGTCAAAAAATGTACAAAGATATGTTATTTGGCAATTCTTCTCTTGCTCATATTCATGCCTTCGTTCCTTTTTCAACAAACTTTCAAAAGGAAACATGCTCATACCCCTTCTACTGCCAATGTTCCATAGCGGACAAAATTGTTGAGCTGCAGATCTTCTGCTTTTGTTTTAACAACTAGTTTAGTAAAAAAAAATAATAATGTTAAAAATGTTAAAAGCAGAGAGGGTTCATTATTTATAGCACGCATGCGCTGAACCTTCCAAATAAACAATCTAAATATTGAAATATCTAAATGAAGCAGAAAAAAGCACAAACAATACCCTCATTTTCTCTTGCAGTTTTCTAGCATCTATTTGTTCCCCTTCAGTAAATATGTCAAGCGAGGCCATAGAAGCCATTGCTAACTGACCAATGTAGTCCTCAAAAAGTTCACTCCCAAAAAGCATTGCAAAGATAGCCGCAGGGTCAATAATAGCATCTCTGTGAAGTGTAACAGCATTAGCAAAGTACAAGTCAAGTGGTTCAATAGAAAAAAGTAAAATCAACATACTGCTGAACATTTCAAACTTGTTGCTGCTTCTTTCATATATGTCATTGAACATAAAAATTAGCACAATAATGCGTCCAAACAGATAGAAATATTTAAGAAAAACAATTCTATTAATAAGGATGGTGGCTACAAGTGTGAATGCATTATCCAACTTTTCAAGCATTGAATTTTTCTGTTAAAAAAAAGCAAGGAAAAAGTTTAAACCTACGTTGATATTCCTGATTTCCCATGGGCATCATAAGCTTGGCGCTGTGCAGGATTGCTAAGTACTTGATAGGCCTCCCCCAAAACCTGGAAAGCCAGCAACAATGTTAGCATTTATCTTCATGAAGTACATTCAAAACCAGCACAAATTTGCCAATAGTAAAATCTACTATGACAGCTTCATCATTCAAGTTTAAGATTACCAACAGCCCAAAACTAAAATGGCAGCATCCGGCACAACTTTTGAATCATAAACCTCAAAAACAGTATAGCTGCCAATGTTTCAAATAATATTTTACATAATTTTTTCTCTCCTCTATAACTGTGGTATAAAGATAGAAAAAAAATTGTTAAATTGCACATTTAGAATTACGCATTAACCAGAACTTCAGTTCACAAAAAAAAACAAAAAAAAATGATGCAAATTGACATTCAAAAGCTTGATTTTCCTTTGTTTTTTTTTTTTCAAATGATTCAATTTTTTTTTATTTTTTTTTGGTAGAAGTATGCTTATGACGTTGACCCTAAATAGAACAAGATATGCTCTCTATTTAATTTGGTGTAGTAAATTTTCTAATTTGGTTGTCCTCTTGGCTCAATTTGGATCAATATCGTTTGCTATTTGGATTCTAAATTGAGCCAAGCTCCCCACAAATTTGCTTAGTTAGGATTATGAGAAAAGGGACCTTTAATTTTTGCTAAGAGACTGTTGGCCTTTGATTTTGATGTGCTTTGAAAAAGAGTAGCTTCTCCCTCGATATTTTTAAGCCAATGAAACTATGCTGGAGCAATGAATTATATTGTCACTTTTTTTTTTTTTAAGATAGAAACTAAGATAGAAACATATCCCACATACATATGTTATATACAAGCACAACACCAACACCAACAACATAATTTTGAGTCACTAGAGGAAACTAACACTTGATACATGAGACAAATAGAAATACATTCCTGATATTTTTCAGAAAATAAGCAACAATATAAGGAGTAAGAAATCAAACCCAAGAGCTCATAGTTGAGAGCTTGGGTATGGCAAGTAGGATAAGGCACTGTTCACTGCAAATAATACCAGTGATGCAGCACAGCTTAATGTTTAGGGTAGAGCTAGGATGAGATGCACAACACACTAAAAATCATAATTTGCAATTTTTTTAACTTCTAGCGTAGGCAAATAGTAGTTTCCATTGAAGCAAACTAGAAAACACGTACAATTTGTTAAAAAAAAAAAACCCTTCAATTAATTTTTTCAAAAATCTAAGAATGAATAAAACAATGCAGTGATTTAGTCTCTTCTCTATAAGTGCATTATAACAAAACATAAAAATTTATACATCGCATTGCACTTGCCATTTTGAAAACACAATGCAAGAGGCAATTAAAATTACAATACCAGGATCCAGTACAACAACATAGGATATCTGAAAAGGTTTGTAACATATATAGAGAAATATGGAATCCAAAGAAGGTTGAATTTAAATAACTAACAACGATAATCAAATCCTATCAAGGTAATCAAAAAAATCAAAAGATCAAAGAACATGTCATTTTCTCATAGGCACCAATAGCAAAGGTATGCTACATCAAAAATAAGTTAGAAATTAAAATATAAGACTATTGGAACAGCAACAAAACACAAAATATCATTATTCTCATCCTAACGCCACATCTTGAACTTCTAAATGGTATAAGCCTTTAAATTTCATCAATCAGGAATTTAGGATCCATTTTTAAGTGTAATATGTGATTTAATTATTTGAGGTATATTGGAAAATCTCGTATAGCATCTAGCTGCAATGCTATTGTAGCAAGATTTATGCGATCATTCAAAGTATTATAGCCAATACTAGAAGAATTTTGTGGTTATAAATAAAGTGACACCTAAACCATGTGAAAAAAAATCCCATTGATAATCTATTTTGAGCTATTATTTTTTTGTCTTACCATGATGGAATTCTTTCTAGGGTGTTGAAAGTCGCAACCATCAATTTCTGAGAAAACTATCCTCTAGTATTGACATGAGACATGGATTGTTATCTGATATTTTTCCCTTTTATTATTTTGATTCTCTAAAATTAATGATTGATTTCCCTATGAGGTTGATTATTTTGAAATTTAGTACAATTAGGCTTTTCCAAATGGAGCTTGTTTGTAATCAACGGATACTTTATGTCAGACTTAAAATTCTAAGAGAATTCTCTGTTGGTGTTATGGTTAAATTATTATTTAACACAAATTGTGTATTTCTTTTTATTTTTATTAAAATTGATTAATATTTAATTTAATTATTCTATTTACGACGAATTTTAATATGGTGAGTGTGACTTTTGTGTATCACCTCATACAATTGCCTAAGAAACCCTATACCCTAAAATATCTTGTACCAGATTTCATATAAGAGCTTAAGGGTGCATAAGGTCAACTAAAAACAAAACATAATAACTAGTTCAAATAGAAAAATAACAAAGTGTAGTTAAAATAAAATCAAATAAGCTATGATTCCAGTTATGAATATCATTAAGAGTTCAAAATTGCAAGCTTAGGTGGATGGGTGGTTTGACACATAGAGACAAAATGGGAAACAAATGTATTCGCGAAAGGGTTGGTGTAGCTCTAATGGCAAATTAGATTAGAGAGAGTCGTCGTAGATGGCTTGGTCATATTGAACATCGATCATCTGATGATCCAGTTGGGAGAGTAGATGTTTAAGATTCGACTTTTGTTAAAGGCAGAAGTAAACCTAAAAAAACTTCGGCATATTGTATAAAAAATTATCTTAGTTTATTAGAATTAAATGAAAAAATGACACTCAATAGGACATAATGGAGAAAAAAAGCTCATATAGCCAACAACATTTAGCGGGATAAAGGTTTATTGTTGTTGTTGTTTTATTTTTATGCATTAAATCACATAATTGCTTTAGAAAAAAATAATAATTGCATTAGAAAATTCTAAACGCTCCAATGTCTTACATTAGAAGCCCTTGATTGTATGTTGCAAATTATGTGACTAGGCAATGGCTTGTCATTATAAAGTAATGCTTTCCTTTCAGCGCTAGCTCTTAATTTTTCAAGATTAACAAAGTTTGAATTAATTTAGAATGGAATGCAAACACGTGATGTTCGTTGACCGCGTAATTAAAAAAACGAATAAAGAAATAAACAGTAAAACTCATTAATTAATTAACTAATTAATTTAATTATCTACTTACCTCTTTCCAGCCTATTGAAGCCCACTCAAACGTGTAGTAACCACTCATTCGCTCATTATTTTGTCGTTCCCCTTTTTGTTTGTCTTCTACGATCACTGTCCACTTCCTTCTGTCCGACTGACACAGTGTAGGAATTCGCAAAAGGCTTTAGACTTCTTCTTGTTCAAAGTCCACAGTCGCCCTCTTCTTATTTGAAAGTCATACGAAGGAATAATATATGTCTTACCTATTTCTTCCTTGTTTGTTTGTTCACTGCACTGAAATTGTCGCACTTAAACACCGTCCGAAGGCTTCCTTACTCCTCTCTATTTCATATGCCAAAGCTTTCTCCCGCAAATAACAACGTGATTATAGCGCATAAAGTCTCTGAAAATCTATTGTTACTCTATTTCGTTAGTTTTCTTGCGTTGTACAGTAACCCCTCCTTCTCCCCCAACCCTGCCGCGTCTATCCTCATCTACGGTCCTCCCAAGCTATGCGACCATCCCTACCTAATATTCCTCTTCTTCTCAATCGTATGAAGGATCTCGTTGTGCCTCTTTGTTGTGATCGACTTTTTTGTCCTAGCCCACTGCATATGCGAAGTCCTCCCCTGCAGCGAACAAAGGCCGTTCGATCTTCCCTGCAACAAAGCCCTTTTATCCCTTCTTTTGAACCGAATGCCCAAACCTTCCTTCGGTCTTCCTTGTCTCACCTCCTTAGGGTGATCCTCACTCTGCACAGTGCAGCGCCCCAACTTGCACTTCACACGACCTTATTCTCCTACCTATCGTCACAAAATCCTGCTGATTGATCCACTTCAAGCTTCTTCCTCCTCTTTGTTGTCGCGATTCCTGCACTGCATTGCCCAAGCCGCTCCTCCCTATTTACACAACAGAAAGCCAAAAATGCCCCCTGTGCCTTAGCCTATTTCACTTATGTTAAGCAAATGAAGCGCTTTGATATGCTAACCTTAAGGAGTCTTATTTGATTTCATAAATCATAATTATTTTTTTTGCAGCTTTCACCCTACCCGAGCACAAAACAACAATTTTATTGTTTAATTTTATTTTTCATTTTATTTTATTTTAATGTTGTGTTGTAAAAAAAAGAAAGAAAAAACCATACAAGTTGTATTTTAGTTTTATTGTTGTTGTCATAGCCATCGCCGACAACATCGAGGCTCGGGCAGGTATAATAATGTTAACCTCATTTTCAATGAGATTTTTGCTTCTTTCTCCTAGGACCTAGAATCTAGCTTTAGAAGTTCCTTGTTGACCATCATAGAAGATTAGTATTGGAACTCACCTCACATAGAGCTTCAAACCACTTCTTAACTCATTTTTGTGAAGACCTCGCATGAGTGGTCTCAAGCACTCAACTTCTAGTTGAAAAGCCTAAGAACAATCATGTGGAGTTCACTGTTGACCATCATAGAGGACTGGTATTGGAACTCACCTCACATAGAGCTTCAAACCACTTCTTAACTCATTTTTGTGAAAACCTCGCAAGAGTGGTATCAAGCACTCAACTTCTAGTTGCAAGGGCAAATAACCATCATGTGGAGGGCCCAAAAATAAGTTCCCATAAGATCATAAGGCCTTAGTTGAACACTTCGTGGCTCGGCCATGCAAACACTACAATTTACATATTCAACGTACGTAAACCTAGCACTTCACTTCACCGACACTTAAACTAAAATCAATTTTCAAAATGATCCGTGATGAACTCGAAATTCGAAGAAAGCCAAAGTTGACACATTTTTAGCCCAACTGTCGACAAACTTGTCCGGATGACTCCAGATGACGAAATGGGCCACGCGGATGTGCCCGGAACATCGACTCTAACTAGAAATGACACTCATATTGCTATGGTTCTGTATGCACGCAAACGACAC